GACATGTAGTATTATGTGGCCAAGCGTGGGCCTCGATTGGTTGCGCCATGCGAGTGTGGTTGGGCAGGATGTGCCGTTCAGACCGGGTGCATGGTGGGGGGCTAGTCAAACCCAGGGTTTGGGGTGCGTATCTGACCGTATGAGCAGCTCCCGACCCCGCCGTCACACCCATAGACTCCTTAGACATGTAGTATCATGTGGCCAAGCGTGGGCCTCGATTGGTTGCGCCGTGCGAGTGTGGTTGGGCAGGATGTGCCGTTCAGACCGGGTGCATGGTGGGGGGGCTAGTCAAACCCAGGGTTTGGGGTGCGTATCTGACCGTATGAGCGGCACCTGACCCCGCCGTCACACCTACAGACTCCTTAGACATGTAGTATTATGTGGCCAAGCGTGGGCCTCGATTGGTTGCGCCGTGCGAGTGTGGTTGGGCAGGATGTGCCGTTCAGACCGGGTGCATGGTGGGGGGCTAGTCAAACCCAGGGTTTGGGGTGCGTATCTGACCGTATGAGCAGCTCCCGACCCCGCCGTCACACCCATAGACTCCTTAGACATGTAGTATTATGTGGCCAAGCGTGGGCCTCGATTGGTTGCGCCGTGCGAGTGTGGTTGGGCAGGATGTGCCGTTCAGACCGGGTGCATGGTGGGGGGGCTAGTCAAACCCAGGGTTTGGGGTGCGTATCTGACCGTGCGAGCGGCGCCTGAGCCCGCCGTCACACCCATAGACTCCTTAGACATGTAGTATCATGTGGCCAAGCGTGGGCCTCGATTGGTTGCGCCGTGCGAGTGTGGTTGGGCAGGATGTGCCGTTCAGACCGGGTGCATGGTGGGGGGCTAGTCAAACCCAGGGTTTGGGGTGCCTATCTGACCGTGCGAGCGGCGCTTGAGCCCGCCGTCACACCTACAGACTCCTCAGACATGTAGTATTATGTGGCCAAGCGTGGGCCTCGATTGGTTGCGCCATGCGAGTGTGGTTGGGCAGGATGTGCCGTTCAGACCGGGTGCATGGTGGGGGGCCTAGTCAAACCCAGGGTTTGGGGTGCCTATCTGACCGTGCGAGCGGCGCTTGAGCCCGCCGTCACACCTACAGACTCCTCAGACATGTAGTATCATGTGGCCAAGCGTGGGCCTCGATTGGTTGCGCCGTGCGAGTGTGGTTGGGCAGGATGTGCCGTTCAGACCGGGTGCATGGTGGGGGGGCTAGTCAAACCCAGGGTTTGGGGTGCGTATCTGACCGTATGATCAGCTCCCGACCCCGCCGTCACACCCATAGACTCCTTAGACATGTAGTATTATGTGGCCAAGCGTGGGCCTCGATTGGTTGCGCCATGCGAGTGTGGTTGGGCAGGATGTGCCGTTCAGACCGGGTGCATGGTGGGGGGGCTAGTCAAACCCAGGGTTTGGGGTGCGTATCTGACCGTATGAGCAGCTCCCGACCCCGTCGTCACACCCATAGACTCCTTAGACATGTAGTATCATGTGGCCAAGCGTGGGCCTCGATTGGTTGCGCCGTGCGAGTGTGGTAGGGCACTTCCGAATGCACTCGCATGACGCCCTTGTGCGGCTTCTGCCGCTCAGCCTACTTTGTTCAGTATTGAGTAACGTCCTAGGACAAAACCCAAATACAATTCTTGTAGGAAAGAGCCAAAAGACGCAGCAAAGTGTAGGTGCGGCTTGATTGCTCAGTTGACAGCTTCCAAGAAAGCGAGGAAGCTAGCCTAACCAGCTGAGCTAGTTTGCTAGCCAGTAAAACGTTGTTATAGAAAGATGCTTTTTCCGTTTGCAAACGTCCTATTGCATTGTTATACAATCCTTATGATACCTTTACGCCCTCCTAGCAATGCTCCCCACAAAACGCCGGTTAATTCAGCCCCAAACTGATAGAGGACTGGGGAGGGTTGTGCATGTAAGTGCTCTGGGAGGTGTCGGTTGCATGGCCGTTACCTAGCAATCGCAGAGACTCCCCATTTCTTAGTGTGGTAAGCATTCCAACCTAATTCCAACATAATATCAGACACCGCATGCTTGCCTCCTAGCGATCTCCTTGTTTGACTTTCCGCCGTACAGCTTGTGCGGAAAGTGGCGGAACCGGTTCCGCCTTTGGGGCGCTCAGTGAGTGGTGTGGTGCCTTTGGTATGCGGGTGAACGTCCGCAAGAGTGAAGTGCTTTACTTCCACCCCAATGTTCGTAACCGTGCGATTATGTACAGTCGTAGTGGCAGTAGCGTTCAGTATGGAGGTGGGTTAGATAATGGAGATGCTCTTCAGACTATCCCCTGGGTTTTGCGTGCGCGCTATCTAGGGTTACACTACGGACCGAATGCGCATTTCTCCACCTGTGCTACTGAACTGGCACAGAATGGACGACGGGGGTGTTTTGCTTTGGTGACGAAGCTGAAGAAGAAAGGCTTACTGTTAGGTCCTACTGCTATTAAGAGTTTTAATGCGCAAATTCGTCCCATGCTGTCGTACGGTGCCCAAGTATGGGGGCCTGATGCGTTGTTGCGTATTCGCCGGAACAATCAAGATGGATGGTGCTTTTCCGGTCGCCATCAGGACCAGCTGCTACCAAGCAAAGCGTGCGCAGATATCTCACAGACTGTGATGTATCATCTTCCAAATTGCGAAGTCCCGTGAGGGCCCAAAATTGGTAAAGCTGTCTAAAGGTCAAACTAGTCGAGTAGGGTAAGGGAAAGTGCCACAAGTGTTTGTATGATTTTAATGATAAGGTCGAGTACTATATAAAGTTTGCAGGCGACTCTAAGCAGGACTGGGGTAAGACCTTACTGAGTTACTGCCAGCAAGGCTGAGAATGTTAACATATAGGGCTCGAGGGGTTGGAATGAATATTGCCTTTGTCGCATATAGCCAGTGCTCCATTATAGGGCTAAGACACCGGCCAACAATTTTGACGATGTGTAACAGTCAGTTGTACAACCAAGGGCCGCGTCAGTTTGCAGGCTATGCTCGGTAATGCAGTTGCCTGTAAGCGTGTTCAATTCCCACATCTATTACCATGCAGAGTTAGACTATCTATGACCAAATAGGGATAAGTAGTGTGGCGCCTTGGGTGCCATTGCATAAGTCACGGCATACCGGCGCGTCGTACCTCTGCCAGTTTGCAAGCAACACGTACGGTATAGAATGACAACGAGGCATGTCCCCTTACAGGACATCACCAAGGCAGGCGTAAAGTGCATGGCGTGTAAGTGCACTGCGCACAGTTACACCTATAGCCGTCTCTCTTTTACACCTCCTTAGTCAGCAGAAGCAGCCAAGGGGAGGAAACCTATGAGCCCTTGTTGCACATGCCTCCTTACAGGCGAACTGTGGGACCGTGACTGGCAATCAATTCATGCATGGCCGTCTGCTTCCAGGCAGACCCGGATCAGGACCCATACACGTTGGGCCGCACAGCCCTGTATCGATGGGGCGCAGTATGCCATTCGTTATACCAGTGGGGATACGTTATAGAAGAAGAAAGCGCTGAGCGCTGACGGCACGTGCGCGAACCGACCAGCCGAGACCTCTTAGACAGGGGCTACTTGACCACACCACAGGTAGAAATTAAGGTATAACCCTTGCTTGTCTAATTCTTCTTAGCTTGCAATGATATCGCAAAAGAGTGAGCGGGAGACGGACGACAGCGAACAAGTATGAGAAAGAGCACGAATGATAGTGTGCTATATTCAGTGCTACAAGTAAAGTAAAAGATGCTATGCAGAATTACGAGCGCAGCCCGGGTCGAAAGACGACGTCGGAGGGCGACTCCAGTTTGCTAGGCATTGCCACTTTGCCAGTGGAGGGTTGTTATTAACCAGACCGAAGCGATCTCATGGCCTGCCCAAGTGGACGTGTGGGGTGGTGGGTGATAGTTGTGTGGCTGGTTGCATGAGGGCGGCGCGCGGGTGACCCTACTACGGATGCTATTTAAGCATGTATGGCATATATGTCCTATGCCAGTTCGGGCTACCCATCCTGCAAGGTTTGTTGCCCACACTTCGCTGAGGGTGTCATACATGGTATCCGTGACCTCTACCACTGAATGTTTGAACAGATGTCGCTCACAGCAGCAGCATGCGAACGAGCAGGTTTGGGAGAACGCTTCTCTGCACGCCTTCTCAGCAGCTTCGACACACGAGTGCGTGCTGGTGGTCGGGAGCCCAAGGCCGTCGGAATCCACATCTGCCTCGTTCTCGGTGCCAGGTTCGTCTTCATCTGAAAGGGCATGGCGCGAACCCAAAACTCCGTCATCTATGTATCTCAAGCAGCAAGTGTGCACTAAGGCTTATCCAACTTTTGTGCGCACAAATGAAGGCCGGAGCTATAGAACCTTTGTCAATGCCCCACAACTAGCAAATATTGGCAAACAACCAATAACCTACCAATGTCACCATCCTCCACACCGCTATTGTTGCTGACGTTTCCATTATCCTCTGATGAACATAGAAGACGCTGAGTTTTCGCCAACTGCCGAAGTCGGTAGTGCACTTGACTGTACGTGGCACGGTGGCAGCACTTCCTTCAACTCCTTTACGACAGCGCCCGCTGTTACTTTTCTGTTGGCGGATTGTAGCGTGAGCACTGCTTCCTGAAACGCTGATTCTTCGTCCGGAGTCCACTTTGAACGCTTCTTCGAAGGCTGAGTGGTAGCGTTGGGCTTAGACCGGATATACTTTTGCCCGGCTTTGTTGTATTGCAAAAAGCTGAGAACACGTTTATACGTCAAGCCCTTCAAGCGCGTGTCGGAGCACACTTCATCATACAATAGCTTGGCAGTAAGTTTCAGTCCGCTAGAAGCAATAGTCTCGGCTGCTTTACACAGAGCGTCAACTTCATATGTTTTCATGCATTCCCTGGCCATTGTGTGTATTGAGTAAGGAAGGCAATACCGAAGCCATTGGTGTCGGCCCTATTAAACTACGCTGCTGGCCTTACCGCGACAACAACCTAACGGATACCAACGTGTAGCAAGCTATCGACATGCGCTTAAGGCCTGCAAGAGTGCTCGTACCCCCTAAGGGAGTCTGAGGTCGTACAGGCCCTCCTGGCGCAAGAGCATCGCGCAGAGCCGGTTCCGCCGGACTAGCTACCCTGGAGCAACCTCCAACGGGCTCGCTCACCCAGCACCGCTTTGCTAATGTAATTACATATTCCTTACCTACAGATAACAGGGAACAAGTTCCGCGCCTTACGTCCAACAGGAAGACCTGACCGTTAGGGCCTAAATGCCATGGCGCTAGAAACTTGCCTTCTTCGCTGAATTAAAGCCGAATTCTTTTAGGTAGATCGTAACCCATATTGATAGCACTATTCAATTGCTCTAGGGACTTAAACCTGAAGTCCGCGTCGTCATGACAGAGTCGGACGAGGAGCTCAGCCCGCTCAGCAGCGAAGGCGATCTTTTGTCCTGGTCTTCTGGAGACGAGGACAATGATCACTCCAATGGGCTGGATGGCGATGTTGAAGGAGCAGACCAGACCGAAGGCGATGGCGCGGATGAAGACGGCAACGATGGCGACGCGTTACCAATCGGCAGCAGTGCTGCGATTGGTCTCACCAACATGCAACCGCCCGAGGCGTACCTAGAGGTGTGGAACAGCTGTGAGCGGGCGAGCGTAGTCGCGTTCCCTGTTATTATATGTCCTTTTACATGCGCCTATTGGACTCTAAGCTGTCCTTCTCCCCATCCGCGTGTGATCCACAGGGCGCACAACCGCTACACGCACAAGCGACCGGAGCAGGCGCCTTGCCCATCCTTCTCCCTTCGCTGCAGTCGCCAGTGTTGCGGCGGGGAAAGGTCGTGCTGAACATCCACGAGAACCGACAGGCCAAGATGCTACACAGCTCACCAGGAAAGTCACGTGCGGCCCTTGCGTATGATGGCGGGCGCTACGTAGGCGGCACTATGGTCAAGCTGAGCAAGCTCCGCGTCTGTCCCATTGGCGGTCAGCAGGACCTGCGTCGCGGCCTTCTCTCGGGGGCTAGCGTGGGTCGCCAAGCAGTATTGGTCATTGGGGGCACCAACACCGGGCGCGTCGGTGTTGTTGACGCTGGGTACATGGGGGGGCCGAAGCCCAAGGTTCGATTTGTCGGCCCAGATGGGCGAGAAGATGGGATGCTCAACATCGAGGCTGCCAAGCTACACGCTGTAGCTGATGCAGACCTCTCCACCCGCGCCTTCTTGCCGCCTCAGCGGGATGCCCTTCGGCCGTTCGTCGTGTCCAGTACGCAGTCCCAAGGCCCCAGCACGGTGCAGTGGTCTATGCCAGAGAAGGAGATGGGTTCCGGTGGGGCTGCCGGCGATCCATTGCTCGTCGGCGGCGTGCCACAACAAGCAGCGGCAGCATCGTCCTCCAAAAAGGTGTACCGTGTGCCACGCTCTCAGCTGGAAAGCTTCCTTCTGTGGCTCCAGGTGGAGCAACGCGTGGACTATTCACTACAGCGCCTCACACAGGGCGGCAGCGGTAAAGCGCTGGCGTACATGTTCAGTGGCAAGCCGTACCCACCACCACTACCCCGGCAGCGTAAGCTGGCATCTTGTAAGCTCGTTTGCAGCCGGGGAGCAAGCAGTGGAAAGGGCGTGCTGCGCCACCAACTTGTTCCCTGTTATCTGTAGGTAAGGAATATGTAATTACATTAGCAAAGCGGTGCTGGGTGAGCGAGCCCGTTGGAGGTTGCTCCAGGGTAGCTAGTCCGGCGGAACCGGCTCTGCGCGATGCTCTTGCCCTCCTGGCAGCGTGCTGTGCTCGCTGTGCGCAAGAGTGCTCGTACCCCCTAAGGGAGTCTGAGGTCGTACAGGGCCTCCTGGCAGCGTGCTGTGCTCGCTGTGCTCAGAAGCGTGCTATGAAACATCTTAGAAAGAATGCAATTATATATGCCACATATTTCTATCTAAGTGCAGCCCATTTGGTATTCACCTCGCAATCGACCCAGCACAAGGCTTAACATAAACAGTTGTCCTTAACCTTATGCAATAACATGTAACTAAACATGAGTGATTCAGGTTTTAGTGTAGGTCTCCTAGTAGCTGAACACTCCGACAATGAAGCCGAAGCACTCCTTCGCGCTGCTCTCGGGTCAGATGGCAGCGGCGGTTATGAATCTGGGCATGGTAAAAACACCCTCGTTCTTGTCTTAAAAGAGTACTTCCCAAATATGTGCTTACCTGAAATCACGATTCCGGGCCCCCCTCCCACACATGCCTCTAGCCCTACCCTTGAGCCCCCTCCAAGTGCATACCCGCTTTTTCCGTCGCGTGTAGCATCACAACCCGAACGAACCTGGGCATGGTAAAAACACCCTCGTTCTTGTCTTAAAAGAGTACTTCCCAAATATGTGCTTACCTGAAATCACGATTCCGGGCCCCCCTCCCACACATGCCTCTAGCCCTACCCTTGAGCCCCCTCCAAGTGCATACCCGCTTTTTCCGTCGCGTGTAGCATCACAACCCGAACGAACCTGGGCATGGTAAAAACACCCTCGTTCTTGTCTTAAAAGAGTACTTCCCAAATATGTGCTTACCTGAAATCACGATTCCGGGCCCCCCTCCCACACATGCCTCTAGCCCTACCCTTGAGCCCCCTCCAAGTGCATACCCGCTTTTTCCGTCGCGTGTAGCATCACAACCCGAACGAACCTGGGCATGGTAAAAACACCCTCGTTCTTGTCTTAAAAGAGTACTTCCCAAATATGTGCTTACCTGAAATCACGATTCCGGGCCCCCCTCCCACACATGCCTCTAGCCCTACCCTTGAGCCCCCTCCAAGTGCATACCCGCTTTTTCCGTCGCGTGTAGCATCACAACCCGAACGAACCTGGGCATGGTAAAAACACCCTCGTTCTTGTCTTAAAAGAGTACTTCCCAAATATGTGCTTACCTGAAATCACGATTCCGGGCCCCCCTCCCACACATGCCTCTAGCCCTACCCTTGAGCCCCCTCCAAGTGCATACCCGCTTTTTCCGTCGCGTGTAGCATCACAACCCGAACGAACCTGGGCATGGTAAAAACACCCTCGTTCTTGTCTTAAAAGATTACTTCCCAAATATGTGCTTACCTGAAATCACGATTCCGGGCCCCCCTCCCACACATGCCTCTAGCCCTACCCTTGAGCCCCCTCCAAGTGCATACCCGCTTTTTCCGTCGCGTGTAGCATCACAACCCGAACGAACCTGGGCATGGTAAAAACACCCTCGTTCTTGTCTTAAAAGAGTACTTCCCAAATATGTGCTTACCTGAAATCACGATTCCGGGCCCCCCTCCCACACATGCCTCTAGCCCTACCCTTGAGCCCCCTCCAAGTGCATACCCGCTTTTTCCGTCGCGTGTAGCATCACAACCCGAACGAACCTGGGCATGGTAAAAACACCCTCGTTCTTGTCTTAAAAGAGTACTTCCCAAATATGTGCTTACCTGAAATCACGATTCCGGGCCCCCCTCCCACACATGCCTCTAGCCCTACCCTTGAGCCCCCTCCAAGTGCATACCCGCTTTTTCCGTCGCGTGTAGCATCACAACCCGAACGAACCTGGGCATGGTAAAAACACCCTCGTTCTTGTCTTAAAAGAGTACTTCCCAAATATGTGCTTACCTGAAATCACGATTCCGGGCCCCCCTCCCACACATGCCTCTAGCCCTACCCTTGAGCCCCCTCCAAGTGCATACCCGCTTTTTCCGTCGCGTGTAGCATCACAACCCGAACGAACCTGGGCATGGTAAAAACACCCTCGTTCTTGTCTTAAAAGAGTACTTCCCAAATATGTGCTTACCTGAAATCACGATTCCGGGCCCCCCTCCCACACATGCCTCTAGCCCTACCCTTGAGCCCCCTCCAAGTGCATACCCGCTTTTTCCGTCGCGTGTAGCATCACAACCCGAACGAACCTGGGCATGGTAAAAACACCCTCGTTCTTGTCTTAAAAGAGTACTTCCCAAATATGTGCTTACCTGAAATCACGATTCCGGGCCCCCCTCCCACACATGCCTCTAGCCCTACCCTTGAGCCCCCTCCAAGTGCATACCCGCTTTTTCCGTCGCGTGTAGCATCACAACCCGAACGAACCTGGGCATGGTAAAAACACCCTCGTTCTTGTCTTAAAAGAGTACTTCCCAAATATGTGCTTACCTGAAATCACGATTCCGGGCCCCCCTCCCACACATGCCTCTAGCCCTACCCTTGAGCCCCCTCCAAGTGCATACCCGCTTTTTCCGTCGCGTGTAGCATCACAACCCGAACGAACCTGGGCATGGTAAAAACACCCTCGTTCTTGTCTTAAAAGAGTACTTCCCAAATATGTGCTTACCTGAAATCACGATTCCGGGCCCCCCTCCCACACATGCCTCTAGCCCTACCCTTGAGCCCCCTCCAAGTGCATACCCGCTTTTTCCGTCGCGTGTAGCATCACAACCCGAACGAACCTGGGCATGGTAAAAACACCCTCGTTCTTGTCTTAAAAGAGTACTTCCCAAATATGTGCTTACCTGAAATCACGATTCCGGGCCCCCCTCCCACACATGCCTCTAGCCCTACCCTTGAGCCCCCTCCAAGTGCATACCCGCTTTTTCCGTCGCGTGTAGCATCACAACCCGAACGAACCTGGGCATGGTAAAAACACCCTCGTTCTTGTCTTAAAAGAGTACTTCCCAAATATGTGCTTACCTGAAATCACGATTCCGGGCCCCCCTCCCACACATGCCTCTAGCCCTACCCTTGAGCCCCCTCCAAGTGCATACCCGCTTTTTCCGTCGCGTGTAGCATCACAACCCGAACGAACCTGGGCATGGTAAAAACACCCTCGTTCTTGTCTTAAAAGAGTACTTCCCAAATATGTGCTTACCTGAAATCACGATTCCGGGCCCCCCTCCCACACATGCCTCTAGCCCTACCCTTGAGCCCCCTCCAAGTGCATACCCGCTTTTTCCGTCGCGTGTAGCATCACAACCCGAACGAACCTGGGCATGGTAAAAACACCCTCGTTCTTGTCTTAAAAGAGTACTTCCCAAATATGTGCTTACCTGAAATCACGATTCCGGGCCCCCCTCCCACACATGCCTCTAGCCCTACCCTTGAGCCCCCTCCAAGTGCATACCCGCTTTTTCCGTCGCGTGTAGCATCACAACCCGAACGAACCTGGGCATGGTAAAAACACCCTCGTTCTTGTCTTAAAAGAGTACTTCCCAAATATGTGCTTACCTGAAATCACGATTCCGGGCCCCCCTCCCACACATGCCTCTAGCCCTACCCTTGAGCCCCCTCCAAGTGCACACCGCCATCTGCTACAGCGGCGGGCGGTGCAGCACCCAGCTCTCAGCTGGCGCCAGCACCTTGTGTGCAACGTTCAAGCAGAGGGGGCAGGAGACGTGCAACGAAGCCAGGGCCACGGCAAAACCCAGGGCATCAGGCAGCAGCCGAGCAGGACTTACCAACAGGTGCATACGCTGTGCCTGCATCAGACCCAGCCCCATCCTACTCATCAGAGGCATTCATATTCAAGTCCTTCACTTCATGCGAGGATGTTTTGTCAGCAGCCATGCAGTTGGTGCCTGAAACTCAGAAACGTAAACTTAATCCGTGCCCAGTACGCGCTGTTGTCTCCATCCGTGCTGGAGTGTTCAGCAGCACTTGCCATATGTTTGTGGCACATAACGCCTGCGTGCGCTCTGTTGCGGCAGACGTATACAAGCAGTGGCATGGTACCTCAACCCCAACGTCCAACAGCTTGCAAGGCGAGGGTATGGAGCCAATAGAGACAGGGCTCTAGCCAAACAGCAGCTGAAAGCAGGCCTGTGGAGGAGGTGGTTCGAGAGGTTGCCTCTCGCCTATCAGTTGATTCGCTCAAGGCTACCATCCGCAGAGCATTCACAGCAGGCCGGAGGCCACCCACGGAACGTATGTCAGCCACGCTTGCTGCTGGACGGAGGGAGGCTGAAGCCTTGCGGTCTCTTGTCCAGTCCAAAGACCGCTACAGAGGGCCGGCGGCTTTGCGTATGCCAGCTGCGTCTCCTGCTGCATCACCGCCGATGCCTCCCCATAGCAGTGAGGTGCTGGCTTTAGCTGGTATCGTTTCGACGCCGCTCGTGACCATCCACGCAGCACTATTGGGGGCTAGCAACCTATCAGCTGACGATGTAAAGGCAGTTGTTAATGCTATGTCTGCGTGGGCAGCTTGGGTTACCCAGCGCAGCGCTGCTGCTGCAGGAGGTGAAGCCCGCTCTGATGCAGCAGCTGCGGGGCCAAGTGGTCAGGGAGCGGGCACAGCAGGGGCTAATAATGTGGCGCAAGACACAGCACAGCAGCAGGGTGTTACGGATGTAAATATGCATGAGGAGCTTGTTCCAGCTGACGCGGTACGCACGCAAGGTGTAAGTAACGAACGATGTGCCCATGCTAAATGCGTGTATAGAAGGAACGCTGCGATTGGTGTCAAGCGGAGGCGTCAAGGGGATTCTGGTGATAGGCAGGACGGGACTGACGGTGGTGTTGGGGTTCGTAATATCTATATCCCTGCAGACGCGTTAGTCCTATTACCGGCAAGAAAGGGGAAGGGAACGGGAGGATCGTTGCCTATGGATACACGTGGCAAGCACAAGAGGTCAGCACATATTGCTAGTGTGCACAGATGCACAGTTGTGAGACAGCAAGTATACAGCGCATCGCAAACAGCTTAATACTATCAATTAACTTCAGGACAACGTGGCACGAAACATACCTTGGGCGACTCAGGTCCTGTGGCTGCTGCTGCCGAAGAGCCGTCGCATCCACTGCTGCCATCGCCCTTCTTTTTCGCACAACCATCAAGACTTTAGCGCCTGTGGCACAAGCCATAACTAGCGTTATCGAATTAGAACTAAAGTAGGTCAACAAATCAAGCTTGCTACATTTTCTGTAGGTTGACGCTGCAATGCACAGAAAGTCCCTGACGCTTACATTTAAAGGGATATTGGAATTCCCAGAGTAAAAGGGTGATACCAAGAACGTGTTTTGAGTTAAAAGATAGAGAATGGAAGCGCAGCACGCTGCCAGGGAGCCCTGTACGACCTCAGACTCCCTTAGGGGGTAGGGGCGCTGTACCCTTAAGGCCTCTTTTTTGTAACTTGTTTTGTACTTTGTACGACACAGGCCAATACGACGACCCTAAATGGTACCAGGATCCAAAGTCGGACGAGCTCGTAGCGAGGACGTTATCAACACAAAGTAGCGCATCTTGTCAACATTTAAACACCACTAGACAGGGGTTATGACAGTTTAATAGAAAAACGTTGAGCGCCTGTCAATTGCGATGCTTTGCTCAGCAGCCCTAGGGGCTGCTCCTTGGCGCATTCCTAACAACTGTAGGTATTTCAGTAGAGAACAAGGAACACTACTAAGATAAGCCGTCTGCCAGGATACCCATGTCTGCGACCTAGCCTGAGAATCGCTCGTCATGGCCAGCGTGGTGCATGGTTGTCTACTAGGTTACTGTTGCTTCGTACCGGGAGGACAAATTATGGAACATTGCCGGCTATCGTGTCATCTTTAACTTCGGCAAAGGAACATTAATGGAGCGGTCAGGGATGGATATCCACCGGGCGAAGGCACGTGGTGATGCACGGGCAGGCGTCTGCGTCTATGACTGTCTCCGCAAGGAAACGGAGGAGATGCAGGCGGTAGTCAACGCGTTCCTACACACGCCCAACCCGTCATCCCAACCCGTGTAGCCATCCAACCCGTCATTTGAACCCCCCTACCTTCACACCCCGCACCTTCCTACGCTCCTCCCTTGTGTTGCCATCACCCACACGCTCTATGTCCAAACGATCACAGCCAAACCGAGCACAGCCCAATCCCCCCCTAACCTGTGGTTTTGGTATATCTTGTGTTTCCTTACCCTACCCCTTAACGCGCCCTGCCTACTTCTTTCCCTATTTTTCCGCATATTGACAACCGCTTCCTGTTGGATACTGGACCCGCTCCTGGTGCGGCTCTGTTGGTCTGCGTCTCCAATCCTTATGGCCATGGCACTTCTGGCCTCCATCTCCAGGTAAGTTTCCCGTAACGCGTCTCGATAACATGTGTGCTCGTATACCCCATATGCGTGTTGCTTTGCATTTCGTGACCGGCGGCGCGGCGCATGTCTCCCTAGTGTTACCACGCAAGGCGGCTTCTTCCTCAAGTCGTCTCGGTTTACGGCAAGCAACGCGTTGGTAAGGAATTTGAGATGCGTGTCTCTAGAATAGTGTCTCCGAATGCGCTCACTGCATGAGTCGGGATATGGGATTGGGACTCGTTGTTTCACATATTTAATTTTTTACCCCACCGGTTGGTTGAGTCCCCTTAACCCCTTCCTTCGCACCCCATCTCTTGTCACGTCCCCCACGTGCATTGCCGTCACTTCAACGCTGCCCTACGCTCCCAACCGCTGTATGCTGTACCCTCTCCTTCCCTCCGCATGCAGCCCCAACGTCACCTCATCCCACGTAGTTCTCCATGACTCCATCCCTTCCCCAACCCCTCCCGCCGCAGCCCAATTATGGCTGCTGTATGTGTTGCCGCCAACAGACGGCCCCCCGGTACTCCATGCGTCGCCCCTCCCGCACTGAGGAGGGGCGACGTATTGGGCAACGGGGGAAAGTACGGAGGCAGGGGGCTAAGGAACGCGATGAAGGGCCATGCGGGTTGACACGGCTGTAAGGACATGTGGCCAGGGAGTAGCGTAAAAGGATACCACTACCAGAAGCAAAGCTTAAGTTTCGAGGCATCCAACTGGCGCATCCTCAGGATTTTGCGCTGCACTGGGTATCCTGGTCACGAAGGTATTCAAGAACTTTTCCTTGTTGTGTACTTAATCAATTATTAAGCATTGGATTTCGATAGGATGTAGCCCGTCGCAATAGACAGCTTCCCAACGCTTTTTGGCAAGTTGAACCTATTTCCTGTTCAGAAATGTTGATTATAGCCAAGATGCTTAAGCCGGGGTTGATAACGTCCTCGCTACGAGCTCGTCCGACTTTGGATCCTGGTACCATTTAGGGTCGTCGAGGCCAATATCACTGCTCACCCATATTCACATCATTATTTTGACATCACAATACAACAAACACCTGTGCAATGATTATGTGACGAACGCTGCAGCTAGAAACTCCTCTCCACTCATAACAATCGTTCTTGACTTGGAGCCACATCGCAGGTTGTCTTTGTGACTTGCATATACACATTCAAATTCCAAACCTTTTGCACGAAAAAGATGCCAAAAAGCTCACGCGAAAACTTGTTAAATTTGCCGGGGTGTTCACTAAGGGGCCGTTTACATATGCGTGACCGTAATTAAAATCCCGCGTGCAGAAATTCACCCGAGCACCTCCAGACTCCGCAATTTCAGCTACGTGTAGGATTTCGATCACGCTCCCAATTCTTGAAAGATCGGGGCGAAAGCGAAACGAAAATTGGGAGTTCTATGCGACAGAAAGTTGGTTTCTGCCTTTTTGATTTTAGTTTCGCGCATATGTAAACGGCCCCTAAGGCTGTTCCCTTGCTTCCAAGCCGCGGCCTGGCGGAGCGTCTGGAATCAAGGGCAGGCCAAAAACACAGTTTAAGGTGTGTAGAACAGTATAAAGACTGCCAGTCTGCGCCAATATGGATCGTTGTAGTGCACGAGGTTACGTCTACGGCAACCTACTGTGGCATGTGTAAGCACTGTGCCTGTGCAATTTTTTTTAAATTAACGATTTTTAGACGCGCCTCTTAGATGGCGACAACAATGCAAACTATAGTAAACGAGAGCTTGTAGAGATAGGAATACTTCGTCATTTGAATACGGAGAGGCGCAGGTCGCGTCAACGTCCGCATTCTAGCCTCTCGGTTGTTGCATTAGCTAAATGAGTTAGCACACGCCTTCGGGCGTCGACAGCCGGACTAGCATTAAGCGTTCGCCAGCATGGGGCGAACTACTGCTGCCAACAATGCACTTGGAGGATACTTATCATCATCACTTTGTCCTTCAGATTATGTGCCCAATCCCTTAATGACCCCCTCGTAGTATGTGGACTGGACCACGGGCAGCGTGTCCTGCAAAGGTGAACATATACCGGTATAGTTTCCGCCGCTTGGGACAGGTCCGTGAAAGCGATGCCATTCTAACCATAAAATTATGCCATACTGCAGTTGTCACACAGAAGATAGCGGTATATGGGCTGGGTCACCACGACTGGCTGTAACAACAATGCTTTACAAGTGTGTAGCAGAGGCCAACAGCTCTGCCAACATGACAATCCGCGTGAGTGCGGGCTCCGATTTAATTTGCTTGTCCCAGTTTTGTCGTTGGTGGCAGCTTCGTCGTGCTCTGCCGCACGCCCCAACTTCCATGCAACAACCTGCGTTCGTTTAGTACTTGCTGCTATCCCTCGTGCTTTTACACTCGCGAAATTGGCCCTTTTACGTACGCAGCCGCTGCGCATTGTTGTCCCAGACGGCACCCTTGTGCGCACCTTCAGCCAACTGGCCAACGGCAGCAGCTCCTCATTCAGCAGAGCTACAGGCGTGCCCATTGAATTCGTGATTATGCCACCGGTAGGTTTCTGCTGCTCAGTTCTGACGTTACACATCAAGGACTGCGCAACTCCTTCCTTGCCACAGCTCTTTCAGCTACCCTTTCATCTTCCCTTTGCCTTCCTGCCAGGTAGCTTATTCAATGGCGCGTGGTTCAATGTTATTGGACACTTCACCGCCAACTGCGGACAGCGGCTATGATGCCATAATGGTTGCGCCCACAGCATTCGGAGACGCTGCACAGGTCGAAAGGGCGGCGGTTGGCAGCGGTTGACAGCGGTTGGTTTGTAGGGGTTGGCAGCGGTTAATGGGCTCCAAGTTCCAACCAAAGTTGATTCGCTAGCAGCAACATAACACTGCTGACACAACCACACGCTTGCGAGTTACTGCGTGACAAGGCACGCCGCAGGATCCAGCACAATACCATGTCTCCGCCCATCGCTTATCCAGGTTCCCGGCAAACTGCTGGATTTGTCGTACATCGTATCGGACGACACAATGCTCGACTGGGAGGGTATCCGGCCGCAGTTTCGAGGTACGGCAGTAACGTACGACGGCGCTGTGGTGGCGCTACCGCTGCTGCCCGTGCCCTTCTTCACATACTACCACCTGCCCATCTTCCAGCGGGACGGGCTGAGGCCGCCGCGCACCTGGGAGGAGTTTGCTGACCTCGCGGAGCGCTACCACGGCCGGGAGCGACCCGCCCCTGCCGCTGCAGATGGAAGGTGTCTGTGGTTTGAACGGGCCCTTGAGGATGACTTAGTGAAGGTACAGAAAGACTTTCTCCAGGAACTTGCGGGTGCTCAACGGCCTACAAATCGGCTACTGTTTCGTGAGTTTGGGCAACGTCCGTTGCAGCAGCACTGGGCTGCGTTAGCGTTCCGGTTTTGGAATGATTTGTGTCAAGCTAGGGATACTATTTATCACAGTGCCTTCAGGAATGAATTACGGTTGGCGTTTGAGTCTGATTTCAACTACGATGGCTGGGGTGCGAAGATGCTACGTGTGTATCGGTGCTTGGGGTATAACCTTACGGGTATGAGGCAAGATATGGATATTGACAGCAAGGTTAACTGTGCTGCCTCTACACGGGTAGAAGTTGGTGAATTACTAAAGCTGCTTTAGCGGCGTTTGGATGAGGACTGGACTAGTGCTCGGCTTAATTGTGACCCGCGTAGTTTCGTTACGGATAACCTTCAACCGGGTGTGAAGATGTGTCGTGCGGTGAAATGGATGGGTACTGCCTCGCACCATGACACCTACATCCCGCGCAGGCACTATGTGTCACTGAGCCGTTTTCGTCTATGTGCTTGGCCACTAGCTGTTAACCGACCGCATGGGGTTGTCCGCAGTGAGCGCTGGTGCAGGATGTGTGGCTGCCGAGATGCGGTGGAGGATGAGTTGCATGTACTGCTGGAATGTCCCGCCTATAATGAGATTAGGGATGAGCTGGTGAACAATGGTGTTGTTTTAGATCAGGGTATGCTTAGTGTTATGAGTACTCCTAATCAAAGATTGCTTGCTAAAGTGGTAGACAGGATCAGGCATGTCAGGGCAACTAGTCTTGACACTTAGGCTGGTTACTGCTTGCTACTTTCTGCTTTTTGTTTTCGGTTACATGTGAAATTTTCTTTCTTTTATTTTTTTCTTACTCTGTTTGTTTTGTTTGTGTGTGCGGTCCATGAGCCTCCTGGCTCGTCTGGGCCTTACGAGCCTTACAGCTTGTAACAACTCACTCACTCACTCCTTTCCGCAAAACTGGGACCGCTGATGCGGATACTGCGGATACCATTTCCGCAGGTTTCCGTTTCCGCAAGTTTCCGTCACCGCTCGTACCCTGGTGCAAGGGCAAATCTGTACGGGCGCAATTGTCCAGACGGTAACGTCGCAGATTCGGTCGGACAAGGTTGTATGGTACTTGTTTCTGTATTCTTATTTCACAGGCCCCATGACCCGCGGGATCGGGTGAATTTTGCGGAAAAGTCACCCGTAAAAGTCATCTACAAACTCGGTGACTACCTACCCGAGACCCCTCATGACCGCGGGATCAGCTGAATTTTGCGCAAAATTCAGCCCTAAAAATTCAGCTGTACGCAAGCTGACTTTTACCCTGAATAGTTTATTAGCTATAGAACTCTAGAGATTATTAGCTATAGACTTACATCTGAACTTTGCGCTGCTTACACGGCAGCTCGCGAGCTAGTATCCTACTTTATTTTATTTTCCTGGTTCTCCACCAGAACCTCCTTTCAGACCTGAAGGCGCGCCTGGACAGCCACAGCGTCCTCACCATCATCCCCACCGACCGCTGCATTCCCCGCCTCTCCTGGGTTGTGCGCTATGCCGATGGCACCGGTGTCGTCCCCCGCCCCCTCAGCATCCTCACCCGCAACTGGCCGGCGTCCTTCAGCCCCACCCAATGCCGCGTGCTCGCAGACTGGTTCCCCAACGCGGTCGTGGTTGGCATTGAGCCCTGGCGCAGCCCGGACCCGGCCCTCACCATCCCCCATTTGGACCGCCACATTGTCCACTTGAAGCCGGGGTCCTCCATTGGTCAAACCCTGCCTTTCGATATCCGGGTGGCGGATTTCCATGGCGCGGCGATTGCCGTGGAGGCCTTCGACTACGATGCCTACAAGGCACAGCAGGCCGCCGTGGCCCGCCCGGGCGCTCCCATCCACCCCCGCCCCCCTCCCCTGACCCAGGTGGCCCCGGGGCCCACTTCTGGGCCGTCCCCCCGGGCGGGCGATCGCGCAGCACAGGTCCTGGCCTGCCTAGCAGCACGCGGCGACCTGCCAGCTGGGCCCCCGGCCGCTGGCACCGTTCCCGCTTCTGCCAGGGAGCAGGACCCCGGCCCCCCGGTGTGGTCCCCGCGGCCAGCCCGCCGCCCCCTTTCGTGCCGGCGGCTCCCCTGCCTGGGGGCGTCCTTCCCTCCACTGCCAGCACGCTCCAGCCGCTGCCGGCGCCCGCTGCTGCCTCTGTGGTGGGTGTGCCTGTGGTTGCGCCGTTGCCTGGCGGCCCGGGGGCTGTTGGGGCCTCTGGCTCCTCCCCCCTTCGCACCTCCCCCATCTGCTCGGCGGATGAGCAGGCGGATGAGCCCGCAACCCCCCACACCACTGCAGTGGCAGTCGCAGCCGCAGGTGCAGCCGCAGCCGTGCTGCCGGGCTGGGGCACTCTCTGCAGCCCGCTGCTGGCGTCTCTGCCCTTCCTCCTCCGGCCAGCCGCGGCCACAGCCCCACCCACGCCGGCTCTCCCCAGCGGCCTGGCCCGGACCCAGCACCCGCGCTTAGCACTCAACGGCTCTGGACCGACGTCCTCGCTGGGCTGCCTCCCTCGGGGGACAGCTCTGACATCCCCGCTCAGTAATGGCCCGGCGTCCCGCTGGGCGCCGGCCCTTGATGTTGTCTGCCTCCAGGAGACCCATGTTCGTGCAGCCGATATACCAAAAGCTACTACGCGGCTCCAGGAGCTGGCTTGGCAGCAGCACTTCGCGCTCTGGATGCCCTGGTGGTCGCCAGCCCGTACTCTGGAGTCCGGTCGTCCTAGCGGTGGCGTCGCCATCCTGATACGATCCCACCTCCTTTCTTCCGGTTCCCTTGCCTTCCCCGGCGCTTCCGCCTCCCCCTCCGTGGACTCCAATGGCCGTCTCCTTCACCTCCCGGTTACCTGGGGTGGCCACAACTATACCCTGCTCAGCGCCTACCTTCCCTCCGCTGATAGCATCGGCCAACAGGCCTTCATTCGGGACCTCCTGCAGCCCCTCGCCGCCTCTGGTGGCATGCACCTCTGGGCTGCGGACTTCAACTTCGTTCCCGGCTCCGTTCTGGATAGTACGGCGGGTGTGGATGGCCGTCGCCAAGATCGGGCCTCTGCTGCTGCTTTGGGTGCAGCCTGCCCTTACCTACACCCACCCCGTGGGTGCTTCCCGGTTGGACCGCTTTCTCCTCTCCCCTTGCCTGGCTCTCCATGCCCGGGCCTGTGAGATCCACTGTGGCGCCCCTTCCGATCACCGCCTCGTGGTCCTCCACCTCACTGCGTCCCCCTCCGCCCAACCCCCTGGCCCTGGCCTGCCCCGGACGCGGCTCCAATTCCTGGATTTCCCAGACCTGCGCTCCCAGTTTGAGGCCTGGCTCCAGGAAGCTGCTGCTTCAGCCCCTGACGACCCGGCCCAGCTCCTGGCCTGGTGGCCTGCCCCGAAACGGGCTACTAGCCTGGCTGCTCAGGACTTTAGCATGGTGGCCCGCCTTCACCGTCTTTCCCTCCATCGTGCGGAGGCGCTCGCGCAGGTCGCTGAGGATGCTGCTCTTGCTGAGCTAGCAGCGGGTGTTCCCTTGGCAGCAGCCTTGGTCGTCACTGCCAGGTCCGCTGCTGCGGCTGCTGCCCTCCAGGCGGCTGGCCCTGGTGCCCGGCAGTCCCGGCACGCTTGGCTGCGCACTGGAGAACGTCCCTGCCCCACCCTCACCGCCCTCCTCCGCCCTCCCACTGCCTGCCGGCCAATTCCCGCCCTGCAAGGCCCTACCGGGGCTGCCACAGCGGACCCCCTGGAGATGCCCCGCGTCATGGCTGCCTTCTGGCGGGACATCTGCACGCCCGCCGCCCCCTCCCCCTCCACTCTGGCCGCCCGCGAGCGTATCCTGGCGGCCCTTCGCTCGCACAGTCGTCGCTGTCCTGAGGGGACGGTGGCTGCCCTCGGCACGGCTGAGGTCAGCACCGCCGAAGTTCTGACGGCTCTCTCCTCCTCCCCCTCCGGCCGTGCCCCGGGAGCCGATGGCCTGCCTGTGGAGCTGTACAAGGAGTTCTCCAGCACCTTTGCGCCCCTCCTGGCCCGCGTCTTCTCTCCAATCCCAACGCATTGCAGACAATATCCTTCTGCTTCAACTCCTGCCCGAGCTCCTCCGCACGGAGCGCCGCCCTGGTGTTGCTGTCTTCCTTGACTTCTACAAGGCCTACGACACAGTTGACAGGGACTTCCTCTTCGCCTACCTCGAGGCCCTCGGCGTCGGGCCGGGCTTCCTCCAGTGGGTGCAGCGCCTCCATACCGACACTGCAGCGGTTGCAGCGCCTCCTCCTCCCCTCCACCCCTCCCTCGCCCTCGCCCTGCTCGCCGCGGCTTGTCCGCGCCTCCCTCCCATCCTTGGCTGCTTCCCTCCTCCTCGGCGCCCTCCCTGCTGCCGCCTCGGTGGCTGCCGCACTCTTGCGCCCTCCCCCGCCTCCCCTCCTCGCCCCCGCCGGCCCGTCCCCTGGGCCCCCTGGTCCCGCTGCCCTGATCCCGCGGGTGGTCGCGTCGGCGAAGACCTTGGGCATTCGCTTCCACAACAATGCAGACCGCTGCAATGTCTCTTTCGAGGGGGTGGTTGCGGCGCTGGCCAAGGTCGTCGCCCTGCCTCTCTCCACGTTTGGGCGCGCCTTCGCTGCCTCTGGCTACGCTCTGAGCAAGACCTTGTATCACCTGGAGTTTCAGGGTCTCCCCTCGCAGCGCGCCCTGACCCGCCTACAGGGCACCGTTGGTGCTGTCGTCGATCGCCGTCTGTCCCCTTCCCAGCATGCTACTGCCCCCCATCAGCGCCTCACCGGAGTCGGCCTCGGCTGCCTTGCACTGTCTCCTGCTGCTGGCGGCTTTGGGCTCCTCCCCCTGGTGCAGCACGTCCGCGCCCGCCAGGCTGCCACTGCGGTGCGCTTTGTGAGCGGTGCCTGCGGCCTCCTGCCCGTTACTCCTCCCTGGGTACGGGTGGCGTTGTCTCTGCTGCGCCGTTGTCATCCCGCAGCCCACCCCCTCTGCGTCCTCATGCCCCTCGCCGGCCGGACAGTCCTGGGCCGCCCCATCCCGGCTGACTGCCCCGCCCTGTGCTCCTTGGTCGGTGCCCTCGCGCCCCTTGGCACCCTCCACATCCCGGACCCTGCTGCACTTGCTGGTCCCTGGTGCTCCTCCGCTCCCTTGTGGGGCAACCCAGCGCTGCTGACCACTGAAGGCGCCGGCCTGGAGACCGCCTTCCCTGACATTGCCGCCCTTCCCGGCTTCACCTCCATCGGGGTCGCTGTTCGGAGCTGGCTTGCCCTTCGGGACCTCCCATGCTTCCGTGCGGCGGCTTGCAACCCCGCGGACCAGCCTTCTCCCCGTCTGCTGCGGCAATGTACTAGGGCCTTCCGCCGCCTGGTCCTCCGTGGAGTGTTGACCCTCCCTGCTGGTATGGAGTTCCCCCCCCGGCTGGTGTCGGGCTGGCATGCCTTCCGGCGCCTCCACATCCTTCTGCTTCAGATCCCGCACCCCTGGGTGGTTGCTGCGGGGACGGCTGCGGCTGCCGGTTCGGCTGCCGTGCCGGCCGACGAGGCCTGGCGGGTGCTCGCCCGTGCGCTTGCCTGGCGCCCCACGCCCACCTTCCCGATCGCCGTCTCCCTGCTTCGCCTTGGCACCCAACTCCAGCTCGCCCCTGCCTACTGCGACCTCCATGCTAAGCATTCCGCCTTTGTGGCGGAGGCCTGCGGGTCTCCCGACGCCCCCACTGCACTCCTTGCTGGTTTTCGGTCTACCTTGGCGCGGCTGTGGCGCCTGCGCTGGGAGAACCAACACAAGGAGGCGCTGTGGCGGCTCGCCCTTAACGGCTGCGCGGGCTTCCCTCTGCATGCCAGCCATGCCGCCCGGGAAGCTGCGCAGGGCCGTTCGTTTCTCCTTGGCCTGCCCGTGTGGAGCACCCCTGGTCGCCCTTGGAGTGGCACAAGATCGGTTACACTTGTTTTGGGAGTGCTTTGTGGCCCGTACCCTTCGTGAGGCCCTGGGCGAGGCCTTAGGTGCACCCGTGGGCTCACTTGATAGTGCATTTTCTAGGCAACATTTGTGGTTAGTCCAACCTCCAGACGGTGTGCATGGATGTGTGTGGGATGTCGTGGCGCTGGCCGCTCTTTCCGCTCTTGAACAGGCCCGTCGGTGGTTGTATGCTGACCACAGTGGCCGGGCCCCCCTCCCCAGACGGTCCCTTGTTGTGCTGGGTGCTCGTGTTGTTGCTGATTTCTGGTCCCGCCTCCAGTCCTTTGCTGTCTTAGGTGTGCCTCCCTGAGGCTGGGCCTGTGTTCCCCCTATTCACCCTTTCCTTGCACATGCGGCTGGCCGTGTACGGTTTGTTGGCCTGCCTGATACTGCGTCCCCGCCGGCCTCCCCCTGACCCTGGATTGTTTTGCCATTGACAACCCCTATGGTTGCTATTACCTCAGGATCACGCCGGTGTCGATCGACTTGGAGGCAGTTGGGCACTGCTGTGGCACAAAGCAGCAGCTTGGCAGTTGCTCTGTACAATAGTTTGATGTGTATTTTCCAACCAGTGCGCAGAATGCAGCTCGTAAGGAGTTTCTGGAACATACTCTTCTCCCGGTGGCAGCGGCAGCAGCTCAGGCTGGGGATACGTTGCTTGTAGCTGGCGATTTTAACTTTGTAGCTGATCCACAGCACGACTCGTCAGCCGGGGAGGGTGGAAGGCAGTATGATGCAGCCATTGCTAGACTGTTTCAGGATCGATGCCAGGATCTGGTTGATACTCACAGATTCCTCCATCCTCACAGGAGAGACTTCACTCACCTGTACAGGGCGCCGCACCCTGGCGGGTCTCGTCTGGACAGGGTTTACTCTTCGTCAGCCCTGCTGCCGTTTGTGGCCCATACCAGTGTTTCGGTCTCCACACCGTCGGATCATCGGGTCGCAACAGTGCAGCTGCTGCCACGTGTTATGGCTGCACGAGGTCCAGGGGTTAGACGGGTTCGTACCTTCTTCACAGCTCATTCCGACCTGAGGCAGAGTATGGAGGATTGGATTGTGCAGGAGGAAACTACTATGCCATCACGGGAGGATCTTCCAGCCACAGTCAACTGGTGGGCCGGTTTCAAACGCAGGCTTGCTGCCGCAGCAAATACTCTTAGCCGGGTAGCTCAGCGGCGGCGGCGAATGCCGGGTCAGTCACTCCAGGATGCCATACGTGCAGCACGCCAAACGCAGCAATCAGCAGCGGGAAGCAGCAGTACGTCGACACTGGAGGACTTAGTTGAGGCTCAGGCTCGAATAGCCATTGCATCACGGGCTGAGGCGGCTCATGCCGCTTACGAGTCTAGGGTTTCCTGGCTTAGGGTGGGGGAGCGGCCCAGTCCAGCTATTACTGCAGTGGTCAAACCGCCAGCTGCGTGCCACACGGTCGCGGCGCTGCAAGACAACATGGGGCGGTTGGTTTCTGCTCCGGGCCGTTTGCCGCAACTGGTGGCTGATTACTGGAGGGATATTAGTTGCAAGTCTTCGGGGTTGTCGGTGGAGGCTAGTGATGAGGTTCTTAGTGAATGAATGATCGTTACAATGGTGCCCTAAAAGGGAACACGGGTGATGAACCCAACCCTACATTGCAAAAGAAACGGAACAAACCGTAGAGACAGCACCACAACAGGCCAACAAGATGGGAGACATAGCCCTAAAAGAAACCTCAGGAGGGAAACAAGAGGGTAGAAGCCAAGAAAAGGCCCCTCAGCAAACCTCGACAAACTTCATCTAGGGCATAAGACAACCCAAACCGGAAGCCACGAACACACCACCCCAAAGGCATCAGGGCCAAAAAACAGGACGCTCAACGGCCCACAGAAAACCGCCCGCCAACAATACGTAAGAAAGGATGAGAAGGGCCAACCCCAGCCCATCCCCGACGGGGAACACCCAAACAAGCAAAACCCCGAAGCTGACCCCAGAACCAGGAAACAGCAGACAGGGCCACCACAGCAGCAAGCCCAGGCACAACACCCGCAGAACCAGACTCACGTACACGAGCCCGTAACAACCGCCGACCCTCCTCCATAGCGGACAAAGCAGCCAAAACAACAACATCCCAAACGCACTGCTGCACGCCCGAAGGAGGCAACGCCAACCACAAGGCAGCCCGAGGAACCGCAATACCCAGCGTGACCTCAAGCTGCTCAACCACAGCACGAGCAACAGGACAAGCCCAGAAAAAATGCAACCGCGGAGACACCCCCAAGACAACGGACCCACAACCACAACATTCCGGACGAGCCCTAGACATATGAGAATTCCCCAGCAAGGGAACCCCATCAATAGAAAGACGCCAAAACGCTTCCTTGAAACCATTCTCCCAACGAATCGACCAAAGACGCTGGAAAGAATCACGAAGGCCATCCAAGACACCCTCAGGAAGCTGCTGGGTAGCAGGTAACCCCAGGGCCTCCCGAATAAAAGCCGCATGCAACACAGTGCTGTACGCACGCGGAACTTGAGGTTGAGTGAAGAGGTAGCAGACAGAGTGGGTGAGTCTCAGGTCTCGGAGGCGGAGGTGCTTGCGGCTCTTAAAGCAACGCCGCTGGGTAAGGCCCCGGGGTGGGATGGGCTCCCTACTGCTATCTATAAGGTTTTCAAGGGGCAGTTGGCCTCAATTTTAGCCAGAGTTTTCTCCGCCATAGGGGAGACAGGCTTGTTACCGGTTGGCTTTCTAGATGGGGTCATTACGGTGTTGTGGAAAGGTAGGGGTGACCGTACACTAGCTGGTAACTACCGTCCTATTACTCTGTTGTGTACAGATTATCGCCTTCTTGCGAAGGTACTTGCATCACGCGTTGGGCTGGCTCTAGGTGACGTGATTACTTTAGAGCAGTCGGCGTTCCTTCCTGGTAGATTAATTGGTGCCAATGTGCTTTTTTTGCGTACACTTCCGCATTTGCTTACTCACCAGGGGCGCTCCGGCATGGTAGCTTTCTTGGATTTTGCTAAGGCGTATGATACCTTGGATCGGGCTTTTCTGTTCTCGGTCATGGATGCAATGGGGGCTGGGGCAGGCCTGTTGAAGTGGGCTAAGCTTCTGCTCAGTGACACGTGTGCTGTTGCGGTTGTTAACGGCTACAGGTCGCAACGGGTGTGTATGGAAGCAGGTGTACGACAAGGGTGTCCTTTGGCGCCTTTGCTGTACTTGTTTGCTGCGCAAGCCCTTTTGTGTTGGTTACAGCACTGCCAGGTTGGTGTGGCGCTTGATCCGTTGGATTCCTCCCTTACCACAGCTGTTCAGTTTGCTGATGACACTGAAGTGGTGTTGCGAGGGCCTGATGCGGTGGGGGATTTCCTCCAGCACATGGAGACGTTTGCGAAGGCGTCGGGTCAACGCTTGAATTTGGACAAGGTAGAGCTCTTGCCAATAGGGGTTCAGACGGGTACTGAGGGGCAGCAGGTTATTCATGGAGTGTCGGTAGCTCGTACGGCAGTGGCGCTTAATGTGCCTTTTACTAACTCGGACACGGTTCCGGGTCTTGACTGGAGCAAACGGTTTCAGGAAGCGGAGCACCGCTTACAGAAGTTGGCTCGCCTTCCGCTTTCCATTTTTGGTAGGGCTACCGGCGCAGCTGCTTATGCTTTGCATACGGTGACTTGGCACATGGAGCATTCCGGTTTGCCTCCGGGTGATCAGTTGGACAACCTGGGGAGGTTGGTGGCTAAGTTTATTGATCGGCACCAAGGTCCGCAGGATAGGGAGCGTCGTGCCACGGGTGTTCCGGGTAGGCTGTTAGCAGGTCACCCCAGGGCAGGGGGTTTTGGTGCCTTGCCTTTGATTGAGCATATTCGGGCCCGTTTTGCTTGTTGGGGTGCCCGTTTAGTTTGTTCCGCCGTGATGCCAAGGGATTCCTTACATCCCTGGCAGCGTGCTTTGCTTCTGTACCTTCGAAGGTTGCATCCGGCTTTTGGTCCCCTATCATTGTTGACAGCGTCCAGGAGGGGGCCTTGGTTGGGTGTGGATGGTTTGCCTGAGGATATTCGTCGGGTTGTGACTTCTATGGCAATTTTACCGCCAGTTACTGACATTGGGTCGGAGCCTTTGGTACCGGGTAGCTGGTGTTGGGGTGTTCCGTTGTGGGGTAACCCTTTCTTGCCGGTTGGGCTGCCGGGCCTACCTGGTGTGTTGGGTTTGGAACACCACTATCCGGTGCTCGTTCATTGCCATGCCCTGAGTTCATTGGGTATGTGTGTGGCTGCCCTGGCTCAACTTCGTTGTTTTGAGGACACGTGGGATTCAGCGTTGTTGAACGGTGTGTCGGGGGTTGCTGAGGGCAGGGTGATGGAGAGGTGCTGGTCCGCTCTTGTACGTCGGTTTTTGGACCCGGCGTCCCCGGATGCCTGTGCTCTTTGTTCGTTGCCTAGGTGTCGTGATCTTTTGACGTCTCTTGAGTCGTTGTTGGGTGCGGTGCCTGTGGCTTGGGTGGAGGCTGCTGAGGCTTTTCTTGTTGATGCCTTGCCGCCCCAACCTCTGCCGGCTTCTGAGGTTGATGCTTGGCAGGTTTTGGTTCCACGTTTGGGGTGGCAGTTGCCTCATGTTGGCGCCGTTCCTTTGAGGAATCTGTCGGTTCGGATGGCTACCGTTCTTCAGCTTGGGGGTGTGTTTGAGGAACGTGCTGTGTTGCATGCGGCTTTTATTCGGGAGGCCCTGGGGTTACCTGCTACCCAGCAGCTTCCTGAGGGTGTCTTGGATGGCCTTCGTGATTCTTTCCAGCGTCTTTGGTCGATTCGTTGGGAGAATGGTTTCAAGGAAGCGTTTTGGCGTCTTTCTATTGATGGGGTTCCCTTGCTGGGGAATTCTCATATGTCTAGGGCTCGTCCGGAATGTTGTGGTTGTGGGTCCGTTGTCTTGGGGGTGTCTCCGCGGTTGCATTTTTTCTGGGCTTGTCCTGTTGCTCGTGCTGTGGTTGAGCAGCTTGAGGTCACGCTGGGTATTGCGGTTCCTCGGGCTGCCTTGTGGTTGGCGTTGCCTCCTTCGGGCGTGCAGCAGTGCGTTTGGGATGTTGTTGTTTTGGCTGCTTTGTCCGCTATGGAGGAGGGTCGGCGGTTGTTACGGGCTCGTGTACGTGAGTCTGGTTCTGCGGGTGTTGTGCCTGGGCTTGCTGCTGTGGTGGCCCTGTCTGCTGTTTCCTGGTTCTGGGGTCAGCTTCGGGGTTTTGCTTGTTTGGGTGTTCCCCGTCGGGGATGGGCTGGGGTTGGCCCTTCTCATCCTTTCTTACGTATTGTTGGCGGGCGGTTTTCTGTGGGCCGTTGAGCGTCCTGTTTTTTGGCCCTGATGCCTTTGGGGTGGTGTGTTCGTAGCTTCCGGTTTGGGTTGTCTTATGCCCTAGATGAAGTTTGTCGAGGTTTGCTGAGGGGCCTTTTGTTGGCTTCTACCCTCTTGTTTCCCTCCTGTGGTTTCTTTTAGGGCTATGTCTCCCATCTTGTTGGCCCGTTGTGGTGCTGTCTCTACGGTTTGTTCCGTTTCTTTTGCAATGTAGGGTTGGGTTCATCACCCGTGTTCCCTTTTAGGGCACCATTGTAACGGTCATTCATTCATTCAGTTTGATCCTTCTTTTGCGGGCTTGGCCTGTGTGATGTTTACCCCTCGCAGGCTTGGTGTTTGTGGATTGTGGTGCTGTGGTCTTGTGGGCTTGGTTTTAGGTGGTTCTGTGTCTGGCATGGCTCCTGTGTGATGTTTACCCCTCGCAGGCTTGGTGTTTGTGGTGCTGTGGCCTTGTGGGCTTGGTTTTAGGTGGTTCTGTGTCTGGCATGGCTCCTTGTTTCTTGCAGGGCATGTCCCTGGGGTAGGTTGCTTTGTTGCGGCTGCCTAGCGTGTACCGCTAGCGATTGGGTCTCTTGTACGGCTCTCAGGCTTTCAGGAGCTCCGGTCCCCCTTGTAACTTTCGCATTCTACTTTATTTTATGCATCTAGGCACCCTTTAGCTACCCCAAGACTCTACCACTTTTTGGACTTCTCTGAATTACCACCTTTTAGCACCTTATTAAGGCTTAGCAACCCTTTCCACCGCATCTCGGCTGAATTGCCACTAGGAAAGCGCAATACGGTAGAGCTAGCACCACGGAGCGACTAGATGCCCATATTTGATGCCTCAAATGCAGCTGCCCTTCCCCGCGCGGCGCCTGCCCCCCCATGTGCTTCCCCGTGCAGCGCATTTGCGGGCCTCTCTGACCTTCCATGTGCAGTGCATGCCGCCACATGCCCCTCCCATACATGTGACTGTCCTTACCCGCGCGGCGCCTGCCTCCCCATGCCCGGTGCCCGCCTCCAAACACCCTCATTTCAACACGCAAATACGCCAGTTGGACTGCAGGGCGGGGGGCGCTGATGTCATGGCCGCGAGTGGTTGTGTAGGGCGGGATGCTTGCACGCATGAGCCGAACACCCACGGCCGAACACCCGGCGAAAGACCGGGTGGGTATACAATAACGCATCGGCATTGGTGCATGGGTGGGTACGATAGGGATGCCTGGACGCAGGTGGTTGGGAAGGGTGGTGATGCTTGCATGAATGAAGGGCACATAAAGTGAGAATGAACAGCATGCCCTGATGTTGAATGGTGAGGGTGGTCATGCATTCCAGCCCAACCCGGTGCCGGTCAACTCCAACCAAAGGCGAATACCCCCCTAGACTAACGAACCGCACTCCCCCTGCAGACATCCTCGCACTGCCCGACTAGTGGCGCCCATGAACACAGGCACCCCCGTCCTTGCGATCATGCGCATTTGCAGGCCAAACCGCACAAGGCATACCGCTATGCAGACATACAATAGTCTAAGGGCACCTACAACTCGCTTTCCGCAGCCACCTGGCGTTCCCTTCTCATCCCCCCACAGGATGAGGGTTTTGCTGTGAGGGACACTGGGACGGGCAGGGGGTGGGCCGGGCTCATGTCTGCGGGGGGAGTGCGGTTCGCGAGTATAGGGGGGTAGCTGTGGGTTCTTGTTCGCCTTTGGTTGGAGTTGACCGGCGCCGGGTCGGGATGGAACACATGCCACCCTCACCATTCAACACCAGGGCTCGTCTGTTCATTCACTTGAACGCCCTAGGCGATTCCCGTCTCTGCTGACCACCCGGGCTTAGTAGTGGTGTGGGATCCGGCAACTGACCGCTCGCTACTCCCATGTCTGTCTTCTTGCCCCTCGCTGATGCGTTAATGCATACCCACCCGGGCTATTCCAAGTACTCTGGTCATGCGTGCAAGCATCAACCCCCCTTCCAAACCACCTGCACCCTGGCGTCCTATCGTACCCACCCATGCATACCGACCCAGCCCATAAACCGGCACCCACACATGCATGCATACCCGCCCTGCCCAAGTACCGTGTGTAAGCGTGCATGCGTAACGGTGCATCATCCCGTCCTACACAACCACTCGCGGCCATGACATCAGCGCCCCCCCTGCAGTTAAACTGGCGTCTATGCGTGCCGGAATGAGGGCGTTTGGCGGACCACAATCTCGAGGCCTGCCGGCACAGCTCCCCCTCAGCAGCCTCCTCCCAACAGCACAGCCCCACCCTCAGCAGTAGCTCCCGTGCAGCGACTAGATGCCCATGTTAGAGGGACAGACAAAACGTTTCAGGTGAAACGGCGTTTGTCTATCCTTTTAACATGGGCATCTAGTCGCTGAAGGTCCGCGGCGCTTGCGTGAGTACAGCTGAATTTAACCCCTAGCGTGGTCCTCACAAGCGATATGTGCCTTGCGCTTCCTTAAATTGTAGGGTCCCACGGGCCCCTGACAGCAGCAGGTTTGCCCACTGGCAACCCAGGCCCTTGCAGGGGTCATCCATTCTCTGCGAAGGTAACTTATGGCAGAGCCTAGGCTTTTCCGTCCATGTGCTTCCTAGTTCCTACATGCATCCCCACATGGCTGTCACGCAACTTGTCCTGTTGTCCCCGTTCACGTGCTATGGGTTGTTCTGTTGCCCGAGGTAATGTAAATTATACCCTTTCCTAACCATCAGGGCCGCAAACGGAAATCCACCGCTGCATTATCTTCTCGTGAGCGCCCCTTTTTTCCAAACGTCTTGGCTAATAAACAGTGATTACCCTATCCTGTAAGGATAAATGATTATGGTATTAACATAAGGCTGGTTTCACCGTGGTTCCTGAGGTCCGTGGTTCCTGAGGTCCGTAGAAACAGGTCACTTAGGAACACTTAGGAGCGCGTAGCGTACGACTTAGGTTGGCTTAGGTTTGCCTAAGCTTGGTTGCTTTGTTGCGGCTGCCTAGCTAGCGATTGGGTCTCTTGTACGGCTCTCAGGCTTTCAGGAGGAGCACTCCTGCTTCGCGGCTGGGTATGCCTGGCCGAGTGTACCCTAGAAAACACGACTAGGAAGCATTTTGTGATATCGCTTGACACATTAGCAAATTTGATAATCATAAGCCTAGTGTTAAGCCAACCGTGTAGGTCTTCCTAGGGAAGGATCAGCAGGATGAGTGTAATACAAAAGATCAAGGAAATTGAGGATGAGGTGGGGGTTCTACGTAGGAAGCAGCGTTCGAAGCCGCCACAAGGCCGGTGGGATTACCACTAAGCGGTGCTGCCGTTGCCGCCTTCGAGCAGATGGCTAGGACGCAAAAGAACAAGGCCACTATGGGTCACTTGGGCGTGCTAAAGGTGCGTAAGTGGATTAGCGAGGAGCGCGCCGAGCCGCAGGTGTGCGCCATCCACTTTGACCCATCAGCCAGTTAGGATTGTATCCAACCCGCTGCCCTCTTTTCGAAACCCCCCTTCTTGTCCAACCCCTTTACACTCAACAGGCCAAGCTGGCCAAGCTGCGCCGCGACCTTCTGGAGCCTAGCTCGGGGGCCAAAGGGGGCCCAGGGGGGGAAGGTGTGCCCAGGGCATGTTGGGCAGGAGGACTTGGGTTTAGGGGTTCGCGTCTTCTACATGCATGCGGGTGGGCAGAGTGGTCGATATTGTGGGCTTGTGTGGGACGTGGCTCAGGAGGCGTCTTGGCGCGGCCACTGGGCGGCGTCAGTGCTCAGTGCTGCAAATGGCGCTAACCACCGGTATCCTCGCGCCCTGCCCCTCTCCCCCATCCCTTTCCTGCCCCTATCCGCCTATCTTCATGTCTAGGGTTCGATGTAACCAAGGTCGGCGACGCACGAGTGGGCTTCGTGGGCTTCCCCTCGGTAGGCAAGTCCACACTGCTCACCAAGCTGACGGGGACGTTCTCCGAGGTGGGGTGGGAGGGAAGGTGGCAAAAGTGAAACTTTCCATAAGGCTTATGAACGGTGTATATGGTCGTTGCCGCACACCCACATCAAGGTGTATCCCTGAGGCTGCCCCTAAGTTAAATCCAGATTGTATGTGTGGTCCCGATGTACGCTTGCATAGCAACCCTCTCTCCTTCCTGCTCCCGTCCTCTTTCCTCCCCCATTCCCAGGCCGCTTCATACGAGTTCACCACGCTCACGTGTATCCCGGGTATCGTGCGCTACCGTGGTGCTAAGATCCAGATGCTGGACCTGCCGGGGATCATCGAGGGAGCTAAAGACGGCAAGGGGCGCGGCCGCCAGGTGGGAGGAAGGGAAATGAGGGGGCCCAAATAAGACATATCTAGGTAAGGGGGTGAGACCCCTTGGCGATCCCGATAGTACGTCACTGAGACATCTATCGGGGTCTAAGGGCCTCAGGCCTGAGATGATAGTCCAACTTTCTCCGACTTCCAAGTTATTATGTATCTGTTGTACCGTTTTATTTAACTTGTTTTAGCCAAAGGAGGCAGGTCCGGCGCAAAACAGAGTTGGCAGCATGCAATCCATTTGGGCCAGCCTTGACCACTTGTTCCTGATTCCAAATGACACATAAGAACGTATTCTGCGCATTAGTCTGCCGATGTCAACCCTTGCGAGGTGTCTTGGTTTCAAACCCTTACATTGCATGTGCAGCCCATAAAAATGAGCGCATTTGCATGTAAAACTACCTAAATCGGAACAGTTGTCCACCATCATGGTGGTAGGGGTCCAGAGCGGATCTCAAGGGGTCTCACCCCCATCCATAACTAACCATAGGAATGCACAAGTTAGGGAAGGAGGGCCCCTCGCCCCCAGGTCTTGTCATCTAGTTTACCATTGTCAGCAACACATAGGGTATACTTCTTTCCCCCCAACGTCCTTTCCCCGGCTCCCCTCCTGCAGCTCGTCTCCGCCCCCTTACTGCTGTTACTGTTCATGCCCGGCTCAGGTCATCTCCACTGCTCGCACCTGCAACCTGATTCTTATCGTACTGGACTGCCTCAAGCCGCTCACGCATAAGCGACTCATTGAGCATGAGCTGGAGGTGCGTGGAGCTGGTGGGGAGGAGGGGCGACGAGGAAGGAGAAGGAGGGGCGACGAGGAAGGAATAGTAGAGGGAGAGGGAGAGGGCTGCAGGAAGGCGCCATCATTGATGGGACTTGAGGGTCGCCTCCGACCCCCAGCCCTCATGCCAGCATCCCGAGCTATTTTGCTTTGTTTTGCCCAGCATGGGGCGTCTCGTGGGGGCCTGCTGCGGTAAGACCTGCAACTGCTGCATGCGTGCTGCCTCCTCGACAGGGCTTCGGAATCCGCCTCAACAAGAAGCCACCAAACATCACGTTCCGGTGGGTCGGGGCGTGCAGTTGCTTGGGTAAGTATGACTGTCCAATGAACGTGTACTAACGCGCTTCCCATGCAACCTGCGTGGGATGTGGTCACGGATACAACCTCTGGTAAGGGCAGTTGTTATATGGCTCCCCTTGCTGAGATGCCGCGCTTCCTTGCCCTCCTTGCCACCTCCGACCTGGCTGGGCTGGGCGGGCCGGGCTGGCTCACATGTTGCAAGCCATGATGACGCCTTATCACACTGTCAGTTTCTTGTTTCCTCATATCCCCTCCCCGCCTCCCAGCAAGAAGGACCGCGGTGGAATCAATTTCACCACCACTGTGCAGACCCCTCGACTAGACCTGGATGCAGTCAAAGCGGTGTGCGCCGAGTACCGGTGAGGCAGGCAGGGCGGAGGGGTAAAAGAGGACAACTCCCTGGGGAAAAGCACAGTGGTGACTCGTAGGAATTGCGTCCAATACGTAGATGCGCGTTAGCAAAACTGAACTTAACATGACATAAGCACTTCTCGGCCCTTTCCATTATTGTCATAGCTGACATACTTACACCGGATGAGAAGTTGTGGAAAGAACGTGAGCTGAATACCCATGGCCAAGCATACAACAAGTAAAACAGTACCGGTACACGAGTACATAGATAAAGACCAACCAAATCCGATACGCATACTTGTGCACACAAGGGGTCCGGCCGGGCAGGTTGGACCGGTAAGGGTCCTTAGGTTGCAGGAGAGGCAATTACGATACGTTCCAAAGCTCGGTACAAATCGCCTGAGTTGCGTACTCCTAGTTCCTTATGTCTGCGTATGCTCTCACTGCATGAATCGGGATATGGGATTGGGACTACAGTTGCTTCACTTCCCGTTTTCTCCCACCTTGCGATTCCCGCATACTACAGGCCGGCACCACCACCTTTAACCCACAACATTGCACACCCCATGTCCCGGCCTTCTGCCCGCCCCTCTGCTCGGGTCCATTGCTTCCCCCTCTTCCCCCCAGTATCCACAACGCGGACATCCACATGGTTGACGACCACGACATCGACGACCTGGTGGACGTCATCGAGGGCAGCCGCGTCTACATCCCCGCAATATACGTCATTAACAAGATAGACCAGATCACCATCGAGGAGCTCGAGGTCATGGACAAGTGAGCCTGGCGGAGGGGTATTTACTACTGGTATATAGTAAAGAATATCGGTGCTTACCATATGGGTAGTTGGCTAGGGAGAGAGCCGCCGCGGGCACTAGGACATGTGCCGCACCGCCGGTCACTGAGACGACGGTAAAGCTAACGGGCACAAAGGAAAAACACAACACGCAAGGAGAAACGCTATGGCAGGCTTACCTGGAGGGGAGACCGTGTTTTGTAGACGCACACCGACAATTTCCGCGGCAGGTTCCATTAGATATCGTTACCAATATGCAAGAGCAGGGCTGTTCTATAAAGGATGTCGAGGAGGGTCGTTCCAGCGAGCAGGAAAACAAAGACAGGCGAGGACAACAAGTGCATCCGGTAGACACGGCGGCGCGGCAATATGGGGAACCAGGAAAAGGGGAGGTTATGTAATGCGAGTGCAAGGCGTGTAGTATAACAGATGGACGAGGGGAAGGCGAGGAAGGGGCACGGAAGGCACGGATGTGGACGTGGGAATGGAAAAAACGGTCCGAAAGCAGAGGAGTGAGGGGCAAGAACGACAGGCATGGGAGTAGCGACGAGAGCAAATCTGCAGGGCGCTCTAGAGACATGGCGGTGCAGAAGAGGGAGATGGGGGAAACCAGCACGGGGCAAGAGTAAGGGAGTGACAGGCAAGGAAACAGGCAAGGGAGTAGCAGGCGGCCCATTGCCGAATCCCCACGTAACTACTAATCCCAGGTGGTCAAGAGGGATGGGACCCCCCCCAGGGTGCACGGAGCGAGCGGCTTTCTAGTGGGGTAGGCGGGCCGTGGGGTTTGTTTAAAATCGGGTGGCGGGGGTAAAAATAAAGAAACACTGACAAACTGGGTGGCGGGGGGGGAGCAGGTGACGAGGAAATAACTATCTCATTGGCGTTGGACGGGGTTAGTGGGGTGGCTGCATGGGGCACAGGGGGAACTGATTGTGCTGGTGGGTGGTGGTTCGGGATGCAGTGGATTGAGAAGCTGACGGTATGGCAGTACCTGGTGTGCGAGTGTATGGGGTGTACAATTGAGAGCCTCGTTGGATGCATATCGGTGCTGTGCGTTGTTTCCTTCAGAGCCAGGCCGCTTGCCTTGTGCGTTGCCCCCTTCCACCTTTGGATACTCTCCTGTCCACCCCCAGGCTGCCCCACTACTGCCCCATCTGCGCCTTCCACGAGTGGAACCTGGACGGGCTGGTGGAGATGGTTTGGGACTACCTGGACCTGGTGCGCGTCTACACAAAGCCAAAGGGTGCGTGGGGCGGTGCTGTCAGTACTCGCGCCTGGTCCTAAGCAAGGGCGAGCGGGAGACGTTTTGACAAGGCGGTCGTGAGACGCGTGTGCACATGGTGATCTGCATGTGGCCGGCGCAGGAGGCTCACCCTGCTAACGGCGAGACGAAGCGTTGGCCGAAATGGCCTACTAATACTGCAAGGCCGCTTCGGACTCCCGATTTCACCACTGCGTCTCCCCCTTGCCTCATTCCTTTGGGCTCAGCCTGTTGAGAATAACATCACAAACATTACTCATCCTCGCTCACCCGGCCCCTTCCACCTCCCCACCCAGGCAAGCTGCCCGACTTCAACGAGCCGGTTGTGCTGCACCGGCAGCGCTGCACGGTGGAGGACTTTTGCAACCGCATCCACAAGACGCTGTCCAAGCAGTTTAAGTACGCGCTGGTGTGGGGCGCCTCCGTGAAGCACCGGCCGCAGCGGGTGGGGCGGGACCACGTGCTGCAGGACGAGGACATCGTGCAAATTGTCAAGAAGATCTAGAGGGCAGGGTGCGGAGGTGTAACTAGGGAGAGGCAGCGCGTATGTCAAGGGGTAGAAACAAGTGGAAAGGGGCCTACTGGACAAGTGGAAGCACGGGAGGCCTGTAAGGAGGGGGTCAGCTTTGGCTGTTGCTAGAAGGGTAGGTGGCGGGTAGTTGGACGGCTCCATCGCTGTGGTTAGGACTTCCCATTTTTGTCGGCTTGATTGCCATCTGCACAGCAAAATGCAATCGGTGACGTTCAACTTAGCCCTGCCGCTGGGTCGACCCACAGGGTCGGCTCACCACTCTACCCGCCACGCAGGGCATTCATTTTGCAACCTCCTGGCGTTCAAGTGACATGCTGTAACACGTATGACGGTATGAGGCAGCTCCTGGCAAGCGGGCATGGCAAGGGGTTGCAACGTTGCATGTTGAGCCGGAGATGCCTTGGGGTGTTCGTGTCCTGGGAGGCAGAGTCAATCCAGTCACTTAGCAGAGATATCCCAGCCGCGCACGGCATTCATTGTGCAACCTCCTGCCGCTCAATGCACATGCTGTAACATGTATGGGACAGCTCCTGGCAGGCGGTCATGACCAGGAGATGGCTTGTTGGGCCTGGGGAGGCCTTGCGATAGTGTGGGTGTTCCAGTGCAGCAAGGTTGCCCTACGGAGTCAGGCTTCCCTGAAGCGTGGGCTACAGTTTCAACCGACAAAGAAATTGCGGTGATGACGGATCACAATAAGCACTCGCCGCATGAGCCATTACAAGTTCCACCAGTGCAGGTGTGAAGGAGAACCCCACGCGGGGCACAATGCTTGTTATTATACATCTGGGAAAAGTGATAGTGAAGTTATGCTCCGCACGTGTGTTACGTTACAGTACTGAGCCAAGAACTGTCGTCACTTGCATCTATCTATCCATCCATCTGTACGGCATTAACACAATGGTTAACCAACTACCTCCTAAACGGCCTCCTCCCTGGTTAATTGGCGACAAGTAGTCTCCATCATGATTTCGCCGTGATACCTGTAACACCTATGATCACCAACGGCTGCCATGATACTGCCCTGGATCATCAGTGGCTGCGGCCAGCCCTGCCAGGAAACCAGCCACAAATAGCGGAAGCACAAGAAGAGTCCCATCTCTTGCATACTTCTCGCACGCCATTGGGGCGAGCTCCGTAATGGAGTGAGACAGGTTGCTCACACCTGGCTGCTGGGCCTTTCCCCCTTCCCAGTACTTCGCCTGCAAACCCGCCCACGCACGCAGTCACTGAGTCCATGGCGGGGTACCGCTTCTCTGCTGCGACGTCTTCCTCGGTTCGCCAGCCCCAACCAGCCGCCTGTGGATCGCGTAGATGACAACCTTGCGGAAGCTGATGTGCTTGATCATCTCCTAATCAGCCCGCTACACCCGCTGGAGACGTTTCCCCCCCCCCAACCCACTCTTGGTGGTCTTCCTGTCCTTCCTCTGTAACAGTCCACATCGGGAAAAAAATCCAACCAGCACTTGCATTTTAACTGGTTCAGCTCACCCGCCCACATGGTCCACTGGCGTTTTCATCCGTGCCGCCTCCCCTTGCCGAGTTAGGGCCGCGCCCGGATTCTGGGCCCTGAGCATGCTCGCAATAAAGCCCAGGATTTTGGGCTCTGAGCATGGTCGGAAATAAGTTGCGAGAATTCCGCTTTTAATGGCATGCTTAATACATGGCTATCTATTACGGCCCAGTTTGAACGCGTTACTGCTCTCCCAGCAGGCAGCTATGTCCCGGCCCAGAATCCGGGCTCTGAGCGTGCTCGCTCAGAATTTAGGGCAATAGGGGCGTTTCTATGGGGGCTTAGCGAAACCAAGCCTAGAATGCGAAGGTTACAAGGGGGACCGGAGTTCCTGAAAGCCGTACAAGAGACCCAATCGCTAGCAGTACACGCTAGGCAGCCGCAACAAAGCAACCTACCCCAGGGACATGCCCTGCAAAAAACAAGGAGCCTAGGCCAAACTAAGTCGTACCCTACGTCTCCTTAAGTGATCCTAAGTGACCTGTTTCTATGGACTTCACAGCCGGATGGACAGCATGGTTGCAGAAGTGGTGGTAGGGCACGTACGGTGGTGTGGGAAAGGTTGAAGTGCTGAAACTACTGGCTCTGGATGTGCATGCCACACACGTGAGAGCAGGGGCCCTGTTGCGCAAGTAACCACTTAAGGGGGCGCTTCATGGGGCAGGAGTGTATGCATGGGCTGCTGATCTGCGAAGGCCTGCGGAGCTTGGGTAAGGTGAGGAGGTAAAGTGAGGATGAGGAGAGGGGAAAAGGAACAATACGGCGGCCCTCCTTGCTGCCACCACCGCCGTCCCCCTCTGTCCCCCACAGCCGCCTCATCAGCAGGACGCACAGCTGGGCGGCCAGGGGGGCGGAGAGGGGGAGGAGAAGGGGTGGGGGCGTGGGGCCCTCCGTGGTGGTGGAATCAGGTGAGGAGAAAGCAGGTGGTGGTGGTGGGGGTGTTGCTGGTGGTGTGGTGAGGAGAGCGAGGGCGTCCGCCAGCAGGGGCAGCGGCGGGGGCGGGCGGCTGGGGGGTCGCTGCAGGAGGGACTGGAGGGGTGGGGGAGAGGGTGGGTAGGGGGCAGGGGCAGGTTGGTTTGGCGTTGAGGAGATGCGGGGTGGGTGGCTGAGGGGGTAGTCGTGAGGCACATGTGTGGAGAGGGGTGAGGCGCATGCGGCCCCATGCATGCGACTGCAGGCAACCGCCAACCGAGGCAACCACTTAATCAACTCACACAACACCCAATGGAGGAAAACAGCAGCAGCAGCAGCAGCAGGATAGGAAGCAACCAGCGCAGATAGCAGCAGCAGCGTTAGCAGGAGCGTTAGCCGCCGTTAGGAGCGTTAGCAGGAGCGTTAGCCGTCGCCGTCACAGTCGCTGATACGGCCACTGCCGCTGCTGCCGTACAGGCCAGAACCCGTCGGCTGCTGCTGCTACTGCAGGTGGTGATGCTGCTGATCTGGTGCCGTAGCGGCAGCAGTTGCCGCTCCACCGCTGACGACCGACAGAAGCGCGGCGGCGTCAGGAGGGGGTGCCCCGAGGGCGGGGAGACGCCAGGGAAGCTGCAACAACCCCACCAGCGCTCCGAGGCCACCGCCCCACCCACCCCCACCCTTACTAGTGTTCATATGCAAGGCGGCTTCTTCCCCAAGTCATCTCGGTTTCTGGTAAGCAATTGGTAAGTCTCTGAGATGCGTGTTTCTAGATTAGTGTCTCCGAATGCGCTCACTGCATGAGTCGGGATTCGGGATTGGGATTGCGTTGTTGCATTTATTTATAATTTTCACCCCCACCCGGGAACCCACTGCCTGTCTCGCCTGCTGCTCCTAACCCGCCCGCGCCTACCACCCCCACCCCCACGGCATGCGTGTTATTAGTGCCTCCGAATGCGCTCAGTGCATGAGTCGGGATATGGGATTGGGATTTGTTGTTTCACTTTTATATAATTTTTTCCACCCCCACGGCATGCTGCTCGCTTGCTGTCCCCACTCCTGCCGTCCCTCCCACCGCTGCAGTCACCACTGCTGCGGCTTCTGCTTCCGACGTGACCCGCCACCACCACCGCAACCATGCATGCGGCAGGGGGAAGGCCAGCGAGGGGGCGCCAGCACCCCCCCTGGCTTGCTGTTCGGGCTCCTCCTCCTTCTGCTCCTCCTGCTGCCCTTCCTGTTGCTGCCGCCGTTGACCTGCGTGTGTCACGGAGGACTGCTGCTGCACCCGTCCCTGCTGCTGCTGAGGCAACTGCTGCGAGGACGGTGGTGGGGGCGGCCCCGTGTGGGTTCGGGGTTGAGCAGCAGGAGGAGGGGGGCGGGCAGGAGGAGGGCGGGAAGGGGGCGGTGCCGCCGGGCGGCGAGCGACGACGGGGTGGCGGCGGTTGCAGCCACGGCGGGGGTGGTTGCGGGGGCGGTTACGATGGCGTGTGCTTCGAGTGCTGTTACTGCTGCTGATGACGATGGGGGTCGTGCTGCATGCTGGTTGCTGTCGTCCTGCTGGTGGCATTGGCCCCGCTGCTGGCAGGGGTGGTTCAAACGCCACTGTGACGACTGCCGCTGCTGCTGCTCCTGCTGTCTTTGCGGCCGAAGATGTTTCCCCTTAAACCTCTTCAAGTGCTGTGGTTGCTGTTGCTGCCGTTCAGGCGCCGTAACCGCTGCTGCTGCTGCAGCTGCTGCTGCCACGGATGACCGCAATGACGACGGGGACAGCAACGTTGACGGTCGTGCTGCCGCTGCCGCTACAGCTGCTCCAACTTAAGCCGGTGAGGTACCTCTGGTTATAGCTGTACGGCAGCTGCTTGCCGGCGGCAGCGGGAGTATCAGCAGCGGCAGTAGCGGTGCTTGCTGGAATGAGGGGGAGGAACGAGGAAGCGGTGTGGGAGGAAGGATGGCTGCAGCAGACGATGGGTGGGGTGCGGAGTAGAAGGGGCAGTGGAAAGTGGGTTTGCGGGGGGTTCTTGCTACGTATAACTGGTAAGAATTGTGGAAGAAGTGCTTGAGTTATGCTAGCGGCAAAGATTAGGTGTGCCTGATCGGAAGCCCAGTACGCAGGCCATGTTAATATGTAATCCTATCATGGCTTTTTTCAGAAGTATGTCGAAGCCTTACAGGCCGTTGGAGCGGACATCGGTAACGCTGAACGCCTGAACAACAATTTTGCGCAAAATGCAGCGCAAGAGTGCTCCTACCCCCATCGGGAGTCTGAGGTCGTACAGGGCCTCCTTGGCGCGTGCTGCGCTCGCTGTGCTCAGAAGCGTGCTATGAAACATCTTAGAAAGAATGCAATTATTTAAGCCACATATTTCTATCTAAGTGCAGCCCATTTGGTATCCACCTCGCAATCGACCCAGCACAAGGCTTAACATAAGTAATTGTCCTTAACCTTATGCAATAAAGTTATAATAACATGTAGCCAAACATAGTCATTCAGATGTTAGTGTAGGTCTCCTAGTAGCTGAACACTCCTTCGCGCTGCTCTCGGGTCAGATAGCAGCGGCGGTTATGAATCTGGGCATGGGAAAAACACCCTCGTTATTGTCTTAAAGAGTACTTTCCGAATATGTGCTGACCTGAAATCACGATTCCGGACCCCCCTCCCGCACTTGCCTCTAGACCTACCCTTGAGCCCCCTCCAAGTGCATACCCGCATTTTCCGTCGCGTGTAGCATCACAACCCGAATGAGTCTGGGCATGGGAAAAACACCCTCGTTATTGTCTTAAAGAGTACTTTCCGAATATGTGCTGACCTGAAATCACGATTCCGGACCCCCCTCCCGCACATGCCTCTAGCCCTACCCTTGAGCCCCCTCCAAGTGCATGCCCGCTTTTTCCGTCGCGTGTAGCATCACAACCCGAATGAGTCTGGGCATGGGAAAAACACCCTTGTTCTTGTCTTCAAGAGTACTTTCCGAATATGTGCTGACCTGAAATCACGATTCCGGACCCCCCTCCCGCACATGCCTCTAGCCCTACCCTTGAGCCCCCTCCAAGTGCATGCCCGCTTTTTCCGTCGCGTGTAGCATCACAACCCGAATGAGTCT